AGAGGGAGAGCCCTCTCTCTGCTCATCAAGGACAATATATAAACCCCAAAGTCACACCCTCAGTGCTCTACTTCCACCAGTCATACTCTACTTGCCTAAAGTTACACCTTTCATAATCTAATCATTTCACCCTTGAAAATCCTTGCATTGTTTCACACATGAGCTTTTGGGGGACACCTAGTGTCTAAACCATAATATAGCCCAACACTGGAAACCACCTCAATATGCCTCAGCAGAAGAATGGATAAACACATTGTAGTGTTATTAGCTTTTTGTTACTATAACAAAATACCTGAGTAAGCAACTTATAAAGAGGAAAGTTTATTTTGGTTCCCAGTTATCCCACTCCACGGTTTATACCCACATCAATGTTTATAGCAGCTCAATTCACAATAGCTAAACTATGAAACCAGCCTAGGTACCCTTCAACAGATGAATGGATAAAGAAAATATGATACATATACACAACAGAATATTACTCAGCCGTAAAGAAGAATGAAATTATGGCATTTGCTGGTAAGTGGAAGGAATTGGAGAATAATAAGCCAATCCCTAAAACCAAAGGCCAAATGTTCTGATATACAGATGCTAACTCACAAGAAGGGAGAAGGTAGGGAAGAATAGAAGTACTTTGGATTAGACAAAGAGGAATGAAGGGAGGGGGAATGGTAATAGGAAAGATAGTAGAATGAATTGGACATTACATCTCTATATGCATATATGATTACATGACCAATATAATTCCACATCATGTACCACCAGAATGGGAAGTTATATTCCATATATGTATAATATATCAAAATACATTCTATTGTTATGTATAACTAATAAGAATAAATAAAACAATTTTAAAAACCAGACAAAAAAAAGAGACTAGGGTATATAACTTCAGTGATAGAGTGGGCTAAGCATGTGTAAGGTCATTGGTTTCATTCCTAGCAGGCACCCCGCCCCCCCTCAAAAAAAAAAAAAGAAAAAGAAAGAAAGAAAAGTAAAATATATCATATTTACATCAGTTAGGGTTTCATCAGAGAAGCCAGGTCCTGCAACTGTGGAATCACTGAGCTTCTAAGAGGACAGATCTAAGTCTGTCCTCTTTGATCTAATGCTGGAGTTTGAGATCCACTCAGCAGGGAGTCAGGAAGGAAGGATGCATATAAAGTGGGGTGGGGACTCCAGAGCTAGCTGGAACCACAAGACTGGCTGGCATCCACAAAGATGGACTGAAGTCCATAACCCTTCTTGTTCCATGGGTGATGAAGGTTTCCTGCAGTAGCTGGGACCTTTCATTGCACACCAAGCCCAGGAGACAGCACTGCTGAAGGCCAATTACAGGGCAAGGCAGGGTAGTTGCAGGCATGGCCTCTGCTGATTAGAAGATCAGCCACAATGAGAGAGAGCTCCAGAAATGACTACTGCTTCACTTCTGCCTGTCAAATCTTGCACAGGAAACTCTCTGTGACTGGTCCTAACCAGAAACATGCAGGGAAGGGAAATCTTGGAAATGGTGTGCAGACTAGCCAAGTTGACACAAGCCTTACATTTTTCATCTGTGTAGCAAAGAGGAGAAAAAAAAAAAGTAGGAGCTCCACACACCAATAATGGGGGTGGGTGGGGTGCGGATCTAGGCTCTCTGGTAGGTTGTAGTGGATATCATTGTGGTAGTCCAACTCAAGGATAAAAATGTGTATATTGATTAACCAGCCAATCTGCTATAAGGATTTCTCCTCTGGGAAAAACTGAACTTATTCACAAAGTACACAGTGTTTGAAGAAGTGAAAAAATGAGCACAACTGAAATGCCCAACTGGGTTGTGGGGTGTGGTAGTGCATGCCTATAACCCCAGCCACTGAGGAGGCTGAGGCAGAAGGATCATAAGTTTGAGGCCAACCTTAGCAAGACCAGAAACAGAGGTATGAAAAACTTAGCGAGACCTTGTCTCAAAATAACAAATAAAGGGCTAGGGTTATGGCTCAGTGGTACAGCGCTCGCCTTGCACGTGCAAGGCTCTGGGTTCGATCCTCAGCACCACATAGAAATAAATAAATAAATAAAATGAAGTTATAAAGAAATTTTAAAAAATAATTGTGTCAAAGTGGTAGAGGCCTTGGGTTCAATTCCCACTACCATAATCAATCAATTCCATCAAAAAAGCCCAACTGGGGGGCTGGAGATGTGGCTCAAGCAGTAGCGCGCTCACCTTGCATGCATGTGGCCTGGGTTTGATCCTCAGCACCACATACAAACAAAGATGTTGTGTCCACTGAAAACTAAAAAATAAATATTAAAACTCTCTCTCTCTCTCTAAAAAAAAAGCTCAACTAGGGCCACATGCAGTGGCACATTCCTGTAATCCCAGCAGCTCAGGAGACTGAGGTAGGAGTAACACAAGTTCAAAGCCAGCCTCAGCAAAAGCAAGGTGTTAAGCAACTCAGTGAGACCCTGTCTCTAAGTAAAATACAAAAAAAGGCTGGGGATGTGGCTCAGTGGTCAAGTGCCCCTGAATTCACAATGCCTTTATTTTTCTTATTTATTTTATGTGGTGCTATGGTGCTGAGAATTGAACCCAGTGCCTCACATGTGCTTGCCAAATGCTCTATCACTGAGCCACAATCGCAGCCCTAAAAATTGATGCTTAGTTTAGATTGTTTTATCTTTATACACACAGTATTTATTTTAATACTAATGAAAATTGGAAGGGTAGTTTTTCATACCTATTTCTGGTGAATTGTTAGAGGGACCCACTGGTGCAACAAACTAACCCCCATGCCCCACATTCAACCAACATATTCTGCTTAATCAGAAGTTTATTTCTTATTTCCAGAGCAGTATAGCATGACCATGTGAGTATGTATGTGTATGTGAGTGTGTATGTAGGCCCTCCTCCATGCTGGGGACCCAGCAGAGACCCACATTGACATGGTTTCCAAAGTCATCCATGCAAAGGAAAGAACCTGGAGGCAGGTGTCAGTGGGAGGTTTCTTATGGGCCTGGGTTGGAAATCTCTCCAATCCTCAGCTCACATGGCCCTGGCTAGACTCAATTACATGATCACCCCCAGCTGCAAAGGAGTTTGGGAAATATATCTAGTGTGCAACTGGAAGATGGGTCTGAGCTACTAGCAGTTACCTGTTCAACTTCACTTCCTTAATTGGTTTTCAACCTTAGACACTTGGCTGGAGACAGACTCCTCCAAGAAGCCCCATGACTCCCTACTCCCACAACATCCTACATGACCATTCCCTCCTCTTCAGGCAGATTTGGACCTGAAGATAGGTCCCCCAGAGAGACTAGCAGGGGTGTGGTCCACCCCAGAAACTCAGACACCATAGGGATTTTTTTTCTTCATAGTGCTGGGGTTGGAACCCAGGACCTTACCCACACTAGGCAAGCACTCTTCCACTGAGCTACATGCCCAGTCTACCCTAGGGCTTTGGAAAGAAACTGTCTGACCTGGCAGATTTGGAGGGGACAGTTCCTATACTTAGTGGAAATACTCCTCACCCTCTCCTGTGTCTACTGTTTTCAATTGTGCCCAGTCAATTAGAAGCCCTAGGGGGAGGCTGTAGGAGAGAAGTAGATGCTTCTTTCTGCTTCAGTTGATGGGGGAGTCTGCAGCAGGACTGATGCCCTTGTGACTCTGGTCAGGGTGAGCCAACAGGCCTGCATAGTTCCTGCTTCTGTGTGGATATGGGCCTGGTTCCAGGAGCACATCCCTTACTTAAATCCCTCTGCCTGGGGTGTCACCAGAATCCTGTGGGTGCTTCACTAAATTATCTGATCCCCTGGCTCTCCTTGGATTACCATCTCTCCTATCCTGACTTATTCGAGGGGGATAGCATGCCACAGGGCTCTGATTTGGATGACCTGTCAGTCCAACCTGTGGGGGACCATTTGCAAATCTCCCACTGTTGTCCATTTAGCAAGCTCTGTGGCTGCTGTTTGAGAGACCACCTCTCTGAGGTGGAGGTCCCCTACCTTTGATGTCTGTAGAGCATCTGTGCTTTGTTCTGGTACCTTCTGGTACCTTTGTAAGGGACTAGTAGTACCTCTATCTCTTTTGGGACCCTGGGAAAGCCCTTGTCAGGTGGCGGGACTTCCCATCCTGGCCTGCCCCTGGCAATGGAAATGTCTGGGACTAAGGCTGCAGCCAGGGTGCCCTTTTCTCCTACTGGGGAGGGGATATAGGTCATGTCCTAGAGGGAGATAGGTTGGTCAGGGGATACTGAAGTTGTCCATGCTTTACTTAAATGCCATGGTGTAGCAGTATAGCCATCTTGGTTGGCCCCCTAACCCACCCACTGCTCCTTAGACACAACTACCAATCTCTCTCTTTGAGCCTGAGATACCCTCTCTGATAAATGAGAGCTCTGAGAATACAATCTGCTTTTTTTTTTTTTAAAATAAAAGAGAAGGCCTGACCATGTTGCCAGTCTGGCCCCAAACTCCTGGATTCAAGTAATTCTCCTGCCTCAGTCTCCTGAGTAGCTAGGACTACAGGTGTGTGTCACCATGGATGGAATATAACCTGTCTTTTACCCTGAATGGGACACCCTCTGCTAGACTTACTGAGCCATGAAGTTGCCCCAGCCCTTCTGGGCTCCTTGGGTGCCTGTACCTACAAGTTCAGGCCTTGACCAGGAAACCAATCTTTTATTGACTGAGGTGGCTAACCTGGCCTGGTTTGGCACAGGGATGCACTGGGGACTCAGGCAATGGGAAATGAGACTTTACCTCATCTGCAGAGAGGAAAGTACCAGCTCAATGGCCAAGTGGCAGGAAGCACCACCCTGCCCCGAGTTACAAGTTCAGAGGAGTCTAAGGACAAGGCGAGGAGGGATCTGGGAAGAAAGGACACTGACCTCATTATTCCTCTAATTTCTTGGATGACCCTTCATCCTTCTAATTCCTGTCAGCTGTTTCCTTATATAAGCTCCATCATGCTTGTCTTCCAGGAAGCCCTCCAGATTTGGGAACTGTCCCTGCCTCTCAGCTCTTCTATTTCTGTCCTGGACCCTTTACTAAGTGCAAGGCTCAGTGAGAGGGAGTCCTGAACTCTGTCACCAAACCTGCTTGCAGCAGGTTGTGGAGGAGATTGCCATCCCCAGCCATCTGGGACAGGGCACAGTTCCTTCCCCCAAAACATTCATTGGTCCTACCCTCTGCTGCCTCTATGTGGCCACTCCTAGAACTGCAGGCTATACTGAAGCCTCCACTCTCTTACCACCCACAGTAGGTCACCTGTGGGCATCCTCAGCCCCATCCTCCCCTATACTTTCACCACCTAAGATCAAGATGCCTAACCTTTATTCAGAAATCTATCCACAAAAGAGACTTTGGGCTCTACTTTTCCTCCAGCTGGCTCCTAGTTTGTGCTTCCATGGTGTTCGGCCACTCATAGTCTCAGAGGGCAGGTAAGGAGCTGCTCAGGTGGGCAGCAGTGTCATGTCTGTGTCTAGCTTCTGGACATTCCTGGGTGAAGGAAAATGAATCTCACTCACTCGAGGACTTAGGCATGGCCCTACTAATTACTGCCCGGCCAAGAAGCAGCCTCTTGCAGGGCAGTGCCAGGGTCATAATTAGGGACCAGCTTGCTGCAGGGCATACATTTCTTCTCAGAGAACACTAAGTGAGAGTGAAGGGACAGGAACCTGGGCTGGGAGAGCATGGGCATGGCCAGGCTGGATCTGCCCCTTCCCATGTCCTGAGTAACCAATGTGACATGGCCCTTCATTTCCTACCCCACAAGGGGTGGTCACTATTCTGGATCCCATTTTATACAAACAACACCTTTGTTTGTATGTGGTGCTGAGGATCGAACCCGGGCCGCAAGCATGCCAGGCGAGTGTGCTACTGCTTGAGCCATATCCCCAGCCCCAAAGTAGAAGTTTTAAGGAAATTGAGTCTCCCTGGGAGTCAATGAAGCAGACAGGACTTAGACCTTGATACTGTAGGTAGTGACTTCACAGGGTGACCATGGAACTCTCCAGAATCAAGCTACAACATAAGCACCAGGACAGAAGGAAAGGAATAAAGAAGGTTTGTTTTCTCCTTGTACAGGTAGGGGCAGGGGGTATTCCCAAGCAACATCCTAGAATAGGTAGAGATATAAGTCTGAGTGCAGAGGGAGGTCTCTTTCCTACTGGGGGACTTCCTCTCTACCTAGGGGGCCCTGAGTTCTCTTGCCGTTGAGTCCACCTGAGGTTTCAGGCTGGGTCCATGGTCTAGGCACCAAGACCGCTTGGCACTGAGGCCCCATGGGGGAGGAGCAGGAGATCTCAGTCTACCAGGGGTCATGCCACCGGTGTCAGGCTATGCAGAGTGAGGTATTAAAATCTGAGTTTCTGATGCAGAAATATTAGGGCTTGGGACACAAGCACTAGCACTAGCTTGGGACACAGGAAATGAGGTCTCAGGTATTAGGAATTAGAACTGTGAGTAGTAGGGAAACAGAACAAGAGGTTGATGTCAGGGATTTGGAATTCCTAACATTAGGTATTCTGCCTCCATCTGAGATGACAGACTAGGTATATGGTCTTGAGTCCACAGGTGTTAAAGGCCCAGTTATCATGTATCCACACCTAAGGATTTGAGAATCATAGGACTGATGGTTATGTTATTGGGAGTCCAGGGCCTTCACCTGGGAGGCTGGGTCTTGGCCCTGAGGTGATCCTCTGCTGCTGGCCAACCATGCTCCAGTCTCAGGGCTGCAAGCTCCACATGTTCCTGCAATGGAAATGAGGTTGGACCAGTCACAATTGTCCCACTGGCTGCACCAGGGTCCCAAGAAAGTTGAAGAGGGGGATAGGTAGGGGTCTGTGGGTGGGGCTCTCAACCTGGGTGGGGTCTCACATGTTGCCCTTCCTTCGTAGCAGCACATAGATGATAGAAACCAGTAGCACCACAGCCAGCCCTCCAAAGATGATGCTCAGCAGTACCGTGTAGCTCCGTCCTGGTGAGTGGGCCAGAGTAGTGAGTGTAATCTAGGGCATGTGGGCATGCAGGGGTGGGAGGGTGCACAAGAGAGATATCCTCACCTAACTGGCACTCTGGAGTGGGTGTGGACCAGGTGCCGTCAGCCTGGCAGGTGCTGGTCTCTGCCCCAGCCAAGCTGAAGCCCCTGTTGCAATGGAAGTGCACAGTGGAGCCCACCAAGTACCTGAGTCCCTCCTTGTGCCCATTGGCAGGGGGAGCCAGCCAGCCACAGGATATCACTGGAGTAGGGGCAGAACATAGACAACAGGTCTAAGTTGCTGGCCACAGCATGCAGCTGGCCAGTCCTAGTGCAAGGTGGCTTCTCACTTGTCCAGGCCTCTTCTCTCCCACCCTTACCAGGCTGTAGGCTCTGCATTCGCTGCTGGTGCAGTTGGTGGGCAACCAGTGTGGCATTTCCCACACTCAGGCTCCCGGTGGCTGCCACATCGAATTTGCAGAAATGGTCATTTCCACACAGTTTGGCTGCCTCTTCTGCCTGGCTTGGGCTGAGAGTGGACTTGTCTGGGAAGAGGGGCTCAAAAGTGGGGTCATGCTTAGGTTGGTACACGAAGTTGTTAATCAAAAACCAGGAGTCATACGTGAACAGAGAAGAGGTGTTGTGTACTGCCCCTGTGGAGACAGGTTGCATGCCTGGGTGGACACAGCTCCAAGTAGTGGCCAAGGGTCTGATGTCCCCTTGGTCCACAGATCCTACCTGTGCCATGCTCCAATCCACCCTACCCCACTCCCAGCTCTGCTCATTCTGCCTATTGTATTCCACAGGGCCACTTACAGTCAGCCCCAAACTGGAACAGCTCCTGAGCACTGGCATTCAGGGGCAGGACCCGTCCACTGCGTAGGGTGAAGTCATCGGTGGGGTCATTATTAAGTGTCCCAAGAAGGCCACGGGTGTAGGTCAGAAACTTATCAGGTAGCAGGATGGCCACACTCAGGAAAGGGCCCTGTATGCTGACCTCCAGGCCGGCCCCTGATGACAACATGATGGATACCTTGTCCTCAGCAGCCACTGACAGGAACAAGCCTGGGCACAGGTGAAAATGGACTTAGTCACTCCCTGTGGTCCTTGTGCCTTGTCCTCATCCTTACCACAACCCCAGAATGGGGTTGGAGGCACCTAAGAGGAAGAGGAGGGCTGACCTGTTGACTATGATATTCTACCATCTCCAGCATACACTTGTACCAGGAACCCAGATGCACCCAAAATGCCTAGTTCCTGCAGAAAATCTCCCCATGCTGAGGCTGCATGTGGGGGCATGTGGGGACAGGGCACAGCCCCTTCCCCCAACACATTCATTGGTCTTGCAGCAGTTTCACCCGTCTCTGCCCTTTCTGAGGGTCTTTGTATATTCATCCCCTCTATCTCCATTGGGTACTATTTTGTTTGGAAGCCCCCCTGAAGTATGGTAATGGTGGTGGCAAGGGAATGGGACACTGAGGCTATTACTCATTTTTTTTGGGGGGAGGTGTTATCAGGGATCAAACTCAGAACACTTGACCACTGTGCCACATCCCCAGCCCTATTTTGTAATTTATTTAGAGACAGGGTTTCATTGAGTTGCTTAGGGCCTCACTTTTGCTAAGGCTGACTTTGAACTCGTGATCCTCCTGCCTCAGCCTCCTGAGCTGCTGGGATTACAGGGATGCACTACTGTGCCTGGCTGAGGCTGCTACTCTTGTATGCCACTCTTAGCTGTGTTCTGAACTCTGCAGGCATGGCTTCCTTGCAATGGCCTGCCTGTCTCTTTCTTTCTTTCTTCCCTTCCCCTTTTCTTCCTCTTTTCCTCTTTTTGGATTGAACCCAAGGGTGTTCTACCACTAAGCTAATCCCTCAGCCCTTTTAATTTTGAGATAGGGTCTCATTAAGTTTCTGAAGGACTTCTAAGGCTGAGGCTGGCCTGGAACTTACAATCTTTCTGCCTCAGTCTTCTGAACACTGGTTCTATTACATCCAACTTGCATGGCTTTTCATGATGGAATGAGTGACCACAACAAAGCAGTAGAGCCATGTGGACCAGCAGTGAGTCCTGGCATGCCGGCCCCTAGACTCCTTTGGGCTATAAGGAGGCCCCATCCTTCAATTCTGGCCTCTCAGGGGTATGACATGGGTAACTTTATAGGTGTCAAGATGTGAGATCAGACCTCAGGCTGGACCCCTGCTACCTCTAGCCTAAGACAGCAATGGTTAAGGGCACAGATTCACCCACCTGGCTATGTTTTGCTGGACCTATCTCCAGTCCCCAAGAAGCCTCCATCTTTGTTTCTGAGCCCTAGACACCACCCTAGTCCTTAGCCAGGGCTGGGGAGAGGCACAAAGTCCCTAAGGCTACCTTCAACCCCTGGGCAGATCACTGAAATTATCTAGCCATGCCACTCACCCTTCAGGTCCATCCAGCTCTGTTCAGCAAAACTGAGCACCTCCTGATTCAGCAGCACCTCTAGGACCCCAGACCTTTGGGCCAGCCGCACCTCTACCACATCTGAGTTGCCCTCCTGGACAGCCACTGCAGTCAGCCCTGTGCCTCGGGCCTGTGAGCCTAGGGTAAGAGGTGCAGAATGGGAGCTGGGGCTGTAGCTCAGCAGTAGAGCACTTGCCTAGCATGTGTGAGGCCCTGGGTTCGATCCCCAACACCACATTAAATAAATAAATAAATAAATAAAATAAAGATATTTTTAAAAAAGAGGTGCAGAATGGGGTTGTCTTGGTTCCTATTTTCTACCCTAGATGACCCACCACCACCCAGAGGCTGTGGGGCCCTGGTCTTACCATTGGTCATCATCCCTGGCTGAGCCCGTGCTTGCACCTTCAGGTCTGTCAGCACTGCCTCTAACAGCACATACTCGCCACGCCCATTGAATGTGAGGTTGGTGCCATCAAAGGTGACAAAGTGAGGATCCCCGAAGACAGAGGCTGAGGAAAGAGCAGATTAGACAGGTCCCCCAGCACCTGGCCCTGCCCAGCCCTCCCTGGGGCTAGTGCTCAAGTTGGCACCTACCCAGGTGTGGGGGCCGGTAATTGCGGCAGTCGCTGGAGGGCCGCCGCCGCATGTAGCGGGAGCACTCGGGAGCCCAGAGGCAGCAATAATAGAAGCTGATGACATCATAGAGCCAGTGAGACATGCTGGGCACACGGGGTGGTGTGCGGTAGGGGGGTGAGCCCCAGTCGTGGCCACGGTCCGGGGTGCTGCCACTGGTGGAGTCCGCTGTTAGGAGCTGTGTGCCAGCTGCCGTGTAGCAGCACTGCTGACCTGAGGCATAGTGGGGACTGGTAGGGGAAGGCAAGTCAGGAGCCTACCCCCAACCCCTGCCCTGTCCCTCATCTCTGGTCTAGTAGCTCACCTGGCTTGTACAGAGCGTACACAGTGCACGGCCCCAGGGTGGTAGGTGCAAACGCTGCCGTGCTCAATGTCACAGCCGTAGTCTGTCTGCAGAGTAGCCAGTGGCTGTCACCTGGGTTTTGCATCCTCTCCCTCCTTGGGAGCCAAACCCAAGGGGACCCTCTGAACCCAACCTCACCCCCTGAGAGTATCTGTCTCAGTGGGGAGGCTGGCCCCACCATCCCCCAACATCCTCTCCCAAGCCCTAATGGGTTCAGGGGCTCACAAAATAGCGGCCAGAGTCAGCTCGGGCTTGGGCCAGGGTGCAGGGGCAGTCGGGCAACTCCTTCAGGAAGTTGGGCAGCTGGTCCTCCAGTGCCTCCCAGGCCAGACACTGTGCACGAGCCCAAGCCACAGAATCCTCTCGGAAGTTGTCACCCAGGTGCCAGGCCAGAGCATGATCATTGGTCCAGAGTGCCAACACATCCCTATGATGGTGATGATTCATGAGCTAAGGGCCAGGCCAGGCATGGCCTGGGGTTTCCCAAGCAAGCACGATAGTCTACATACAGTTGGATGCCCCCAGCCCATTCTCTGTACTGAGGCCCTTACTTTTTTCCTGGATAGTTTTTGCTGTCAACGATCCGTAGAGCACCCACTTTCCATCTCTGATAGTCAGGAGATGCAGGTTTTGGAGTGAAAGTGAAGAAGCCAGAGTTGGGAACGTTTGTGGCCAGGGTATACAGATATGACCACTCTGCTGTCCAATTCTCTGAGTATGGCTTCCCTGAGGGGAGAGAGATTCTTGGTCAGCCCTAGGACTCCTCTGAAGGCCCCTGGGGCAAGAGAGGAACCTGGACCCAGTCTCTAGCTCTGAACAGCTTGACAGATGGATGAAAGGGCAATGGATAAATAGATGGTCCTCATGGGAGGGCTTGCTGGAGTGTCAGGAATCCCTTGCTTTGGTGCTCCACCTTCTCCACTTCAGGGTCACTGTTCCTGTATCATGCCAAGCTCAGAGAGGAAGGATCAGATCCAGTTTCTCTTTTTCCAGCATAAGCCTCCTATCCGAAGGCCAGGGCAATCAAACCTTCTACTAGGCCTAGGGCCCAAACAACCAGTCATCCTTTCACCACGCCTTCCCCCTCATTCAGTCTATTCTTCTTCCCTAGACTGATGTTTCTTGCTCCTGATCCTCCAAACCTGCCTGGAATTCCCTTCCTTTCTCTTCCACTTATATGACCCCACTCCCACATCTAGGACACCCATTTCTGGGAGCCCAAAGCTCCAGATGCCTCCACCAGCCCTGGACCAGCCTCACCTGTCTCTTCGTAGCCCCACAGCTCAATGGTGACAGCCTGCGTGGGCAGTCTTGAGGTGTTCCAAGTGAGACTGAGGTTACCTGTGGTGCCTGGGGTGCCGTAGTATTGCCAGCGGGTCTCATTCACCAGCTGGCTCTTCTCTGTCTCTGACACTTTGTAGGGGTGCACTGTGCAGAGGCAAGTGAGGGGTAAGTGAAGGCCTGGGGCCTAGGTGGTGCAGGGGAGGAGGCCCTGAGGCTATAAGGTCTAGGGGGAGCTCTCAAAAATAAACCACTTAAGCAGCTGGCTGACTTGTCCAGTCCCTCATAGAAGAAAAGGATAGCAAGGCTAGGAGAAATGATGGCCTAGCCTAGTCTGGCCTGGCTGAGCTGTGTGGCAGGCACTGGCCTACCTTGTTCAGGGACCCACTGCACCTCCACTCCTTATGGGCTGATACACCCATCTGGATACCAGGGGGCGGGGTAATGAGATGGGGGAACACTTGTCCAAGGGACTGGTTCAGCCAGAGTGGCAAGTGGGTGGACTAAGTCTCGGTGTGCATAGATTAGCACTGGGGAAAGTCCCTATGGGCTAAGGATGTATGGGGGTGGGAACCAGGACCCACAGAGGGTGCATGCCATCTGGGGTGCACAGCCTGGACTGACTTGGTAGAGTGAGGGCTCACCAGCCAGCCAGGTGCCTGCATAAGGGAAGGAGCGACCATTGTCCATGGAGATGTTGAAGGGGATGCGACCACTCTCATAGAGCAAGGGTGATATACAGTGGACTTGCCCCAAGGAGTCCACATGACCAAGGGTCTGGATGCTCTCCTTAAACCTGTGGAAACAGAGCTAGTAGGAACAGCTAGGCCAGTGTGATCTGACCAACTCAAAGCCCCAAGTCCCCCACCTCCTCAGGAAATAGTGTAGCCAGCTGTCTCTGTGCCCTCCTGCCTGTTCTTGGTCCCAGGGCTCCACCCAGCCAGCCAGTGGGGCTGGGAGTATGGGGCCTCCCACCTGCAGATCACACCATCTGTGGAGCTGAACCACTTGAGATGCTGCACCACAAAGTCCTTGCCACCCATCATGGAGCCTGAGGATGGTGAAACCTCCAGGCAGAAATTCTGGAAGTCCAAGCAGCAGGTGCCAAGGCCTGAGCAGGTTGGGTGGCAGGAGCAGGGCCCATTCTGGTTCCCACAGCGCAAGGAACAGCTATCCTGGGCACCTGGAAAAGAAAATCCTGAGCATCTGGCTAAGGTACATGCTAGGCTTGCTGCTCTAAGCACAGGGCCTGCCTCTAATTTTCCCCAGAGTCAATTAAGGGAAGCATTTCCAGGGAGGAATGCTGGTTGGAACTGCCCTCTCTGGTCAGTATGTGGACAAAATGGAAAGCCATGAGTTCCATGGGGCTGGGGTCAACCTTAGCACAGATAATCCAGTGGAGTGACTAGAAAATAGTAAGATGAAGAAAAATGCCTCAGACATTCAACCTTATAGGGTCAGAAATAACTCTCAGGGATCTACTAGCTTTCAGACACTAAGGCCTTATAGCTCACAGGGCAGACGTTCTGGGAAGGCCACAGTTGCCTGCATCCTTGACCTGGGCCTGGGGACCTCTTTTGGCTCTCAGATGGGTCTGTGGACAGTGTGCTATCTTGGGACTCCATAGTCTGGAGAAGGACACTTCTTGCTTACCAAGGCTGGGGTCTGGTCACATAGCCACGTTAAAGATCTAGGAGGGACTGGTGCCTGGGCCGAGCTTGACCCATTTTACTTTCCCAGGGGGCAACAATAGAACTCCAAAGAGAGACCCAACTTCAGGGCAGAAGGTCAGGGGTGTTTCCTTCCTCTTGGGGAAGAGGAGGGACATAGGGAGCCAAGGAATAGGGAGAAGGTAGTCAGGGGTGTGCCATGGGGAGCTATGGAGGTCACGCCTAAGACTTCTCCTGTGGATAATGGGGATCTGAGGTAGGGCAAAGACTGGGGTGGGGTGGAAGTACTCAAGTTAGAATCACATATCTCACTTGGCCCTACACTATCCCCCATAACCAAATGAGGCCAGTCAAGGGCTGGGCCTGGGTTTGAGCCACCAGAATGTCCCTACTTAAGTGCAGTGCTTGGCATTCAAGAGTGGCAATAAATATTTATTGTCTCAAGTGGTGTGGGGAAGAGGCTTCTATATGCCAATAAGTACAATAAAAGTGGCAGAAGGGTTGTGATACTTCCCTGCAAGATGGAAGACAGGGTGGGGTGGAGGACTGTGGGTGGGTGATGCCTCTCTGAGCCTGAGGCCAGGGTCCCAACTCTGGAGTTCAGGCCTTCTGCTAGACTTTCTTGGGTTCAGTCTAACCCTGATGAGGACTAACAAGCCTGCCTAGAGCTGGGAGGGAAATTGGGGGCTCTCCATATGCAATCACACTCTTCTCTGGGATTTGGGGTGCAGGCCAAAGGCTCCGCTGCTCTCCCCTACCTCTCTTCTAGGCAGCCATGGCTTCCCGTCTCCCAGAAGCACAAGGCAGGCTCAGTCCAGACTTCCTTCCCATCCCTAACCCCGGAGCTTCAGAATTTCTTCCCACTACTCCCAGCACAGTCATAGAGGCCCTGACAGATGGACAGAGGCCAAGCCCAGTGGGGCTTGGAACTGCTCTCCCTGGTCAGCATGTGGACAAAATGGAAAGCCATAAGTTCCATGGGGCTGGGGTCAACCTTAGCACAGATAATCCAGTGGAGAGATTGCATAATCTACCCCAAGCCTGGCTGATTAGGCAGATGGACTGATAGACAGGGGGACAGAAGCGGGTGGGAACATACCTGCTGTGGGCCTGGGCCCGGAGCTAGGGACTGTCGCCAGCAGCAGCAGGACCCAGGGCAGGAGGGCAAGCTTCATGGTGAGGTCTGCGTCTGTAGTCAGCAGCAGCAGCAGCAGCAGTGCAGTGGCTCAGAGGCGGCAGGAGGCTCTTACTCCTTGCTGGCCTGGCCCCGCCTGCCTGCCCCGAGCTCTGAGGCACCGCCCCTCCCTTCCCCACCCCACCCGTCTCCCTTCCCACCCCACTTATTACCCTCTCAAAGTCCACAGGTGCCTGAGTAGAACAACAGAGCCCAACCTGCCCCGTTAGCACATTCCTGGCCCAAGCAAAGGACATGGGAGAGGAAAGAAACCCAGCCCTGGGACGTTGTGGGAGGGATATGAGGCTGGAGCCTCCAGCTGCAGAATCTTTGGCACGTGATGAGCCGGATGTTCAGAGGCTGCAGCTTGGATCCTGGGTCTCAGCCCAGTCCTACATAGAGGGGCTGGAGGGTGGGGTTCCTGAATGGGTGTTTGGTGTGCAGGCAGGAGCTGTCAGGTCAGTCCCAGGTTGATCCTTGGCCAGAGGCAGCTCTGGGAGGATTCCTGTTGGAGGGAGGAAGGGGAGGGGAGGGGAGTTCCCTGAGATTGAGACAGGCCCATTCGCAAGCTCAAGTGATCCTCCAACCTGGGCAGGGGAGCTCACAGATGCACAGCCTGCTGCAGGATGGGTGAATCTGGTCTGTGCTTGAGATTGGCAGGATTCCAGCCCCTGTGCCTTCTGGTCAGATTTCACATCCTCAATTCTTAGTTTCCTGCACGGAGGTGTTGCTAATTCCTCCTCAAAGTTTGGCGGGGTGAACAAGCAGATGCTAGCCAGGGCTCGCCCCTGGTGGGCATGTGTTTGGTGTGTGGGAAGGAGCTGTCAGGTCAGTCTCAGGTTGATCCTTGGCTAGACAGCTCTGGGAGGATTCCTGTTGGAGGGAGAAAGGGGAAAGGAGGGGAGTTCCCTGAGACTGAGACAGGCCCATTCACAAAAAAGTGATCCTCCAACCTAGACAAGGGAGCCCACAGATGCACAGCCTGCCCAACTACCCCCCCCCCCCCAGCTGCCATTCATCAGTTTGAATATCTCTTTAATCTTTGGGCAGATGAGGAAGCAAGATGGAGACAGCAGGGAACAAATCAGGCCCCAGGTAGCTTTTGGGAGCCCATGCAATCAGGGAGAGCTAGGTTCCAGGCCTGGGACTTCTCACTCAGGGTTTGCCACCTGGGCTGAATGTTAGGACAGGTAGGTGGTCCTCTCCTACCCTAGCTGCAGCTTCTCAAGGTGTCCTAAGAGGGTGTTTATTAACTTTGCAGCTAGTCTTGCACAGCACCAAGCTGGGGCCATCTGGGATGTGACCTGCCTTGGCCTGAGGCCCCATCAGTTCACTATTCTCCCATTTCTCACCTAGGTCTGCCCCAAACTACTCAATGTTAGTGGTCACCCACCTGCTCCTCCCTTGGGTCCAGATCCAAAGACAGAGACTGGCTCCTATTATAACAGTGGTCCATTTTATACTTTGAATATAGCCCTTGCTGCTCTGCCACTGCTACTTATTTAAAAATATTTTTCAGGGCTGGGGATGTGGCTCAAGTGGTAACACGCTCGCCTGGCATGCACGGGGCGCTGGGTTCAATCCTCAGCACCACATAAAAATAAAAGATGTTGTGTCCACCGAAAACTGAAAAATTCTTTCCCTCTCTTAAAAAAATATTTTTCAGCTGGACACAATATCTTTTTTTTTTTTTTTTTAATGTGGCGCTGAGGATTGAACCCAGTGCCTCACACAGGCTAGGCAAGCATTCTACCTCTGAGCCTGCAACTTATTTTTTAAATGGAAGTTCCTTTTCTTTTTTAGGCTCCTCCCTAATCTCAGGGGAAACAGGATTACCTTTCTTTCACATTTTAGGCAGATGTATCTGTTCTTGAGCACACACTCACCATAAGAACAAAGTAATCCAGACTTTGGAGATAGTACCAGCTCTAAGAAATGACTATGTCCAAATGAACAAGTGAATTACAACTTCAACAGTGTACACGTGGAATGTAGCCTTTGAATCACCTCTTAAAATCCCCCTATTCCTGCTGATAGGCAGAATCACAGCCCCTGGGACAGAGTTACCCTATGTTTCTCCTTTGCTAGCAAAGCAATAAACCTTTTTTCTTTTTCTGTGTCTTAGTTATTGGATTGGCACTGAGGACAAGGACTGAGCTTTCAGCAACACTACTGAAACTGTCAGAGGAAGCTTATGGTTGGGGGAGTTGGAAAAGGGCAGAGTTGCTCCTGGGGAACCCCTGCCCCCATTCTATAATATTTGTGCAGCACAGAGACATTTAATACGAAGTCTGTAAGACCCTTACCTCCCAGAAGGGAGAAAGTCCCTTAATGCACAGGGTTGCTGAACACTAAGGGTACTTCCCTGAGGGGTGCCCTGCATTTGGACACTGATGTCCTGGGCCAGGAAGCAGCTTATACTCCAGCCTGGGCCAGGGCCACGGGTGCTTTCATTCACATGGGCAAGGGCTGGCCTGAGGAACTGCTGGACCAGTTCTCATGTCTCAAGATGGCAGGTCCAGCCAGGATCCCCCTGGGCTGGCATATCTCTAGTTCCAAATGGCCTAGGCTGGGGATCCAGGATAGTGCTCAGTTCCTGGTGCCTTTTCTCCTGGGCAGGGGCACCTAGCTAGCAGTAAGGAGGTGCCTCATCTCAAACCTGGCCCAAAGTTTAGGGACAGATGGGTCTTTGAAGAGCAGAGAGGGAATGACAGTTGTAAAGGGCAAGTGTGAGCATTTGGAAACCGTGCATCCTCAAAATAGACACAATTGGAGCCTGTGAGGGCAGGGTCAGCATTAGGGGCTTGTTTAAGGCTGTTGTCACATTAAGATTCTTAGTAATTTTTGTACAAGAGGTTCACATATCTATTTTATGCTGGGCTCCACAACTTATGTGGCAGGTCCTGTTGGGGTGGGAAGTATGATACCTCCTTCTGCATGGTGTTTCACTGCCAGTCCCTCTGGCATCCAGTGAACTCTGGGGACTTCCCAAATGCCCCTTTAGGCCCAGTGCCAGCCTTGCCTAGAGGAGTCTGCAGCATTCTATGACACTCTACATTCTCCAGACTCTTGTGGTGCCCAAGAGCTGAGCCTAAGAGAAGGAAAAGGTCAGAAACTAGGGACATCAACCTCCCGAAGTCTGGGGCCTCCCCACCTCCAGCCCCACTGGGAGAACAAAGCAGTGAAGACCATTTTTCCATCTTTATTAAAAAAGAACCCCCCCCCCCCAAAAAAAAAGTCAATCACCCAAACCCCCCCCGGGCCCCAAAAAAAAAGGTGTGAGGCAAGCCTGGCCCAGGTGATGCCTCCACTGGGATCTAGGCAGAACCCACTTTGTCCTGGGGTCAGGTTGTAGATACAGCCTGCTGGGCTAGGTATGAGCATGTTTACAAACATTTCATAGAAAATGACGCTGGCCCTGTTGTGCAGATACACCAATCCATCCTCACAGGGCTAAATTGGGCCTCCTCCTCTTCCTCTGGGCCCCCACACTGTGGGTGTGGACAGCCCAATCTGTGAACAGCAGGATGCTGGGAAGACAGGGCTGGTGGGCAGTGGAGGCTGCATGAGAAATAATACCCACTTAGGTTTCTGGCCTTGCTCAGGGTCTGGGCCAAAGGGGATTCCAGGCCCACCCTGTCCCCTTGGGTGTGGCTGTGGAGCTCCGGCAGGCCTTCCTCAGATGTCCATGTAGTCATCATCCTCATCTGTCTCACTCTCTAGTGAAGACTCCTGGCTGGATGTCTCCAGAACCTCCAGAGCTGGCTGACACAGGTTCTCCTTCCTCACGTTGGCAGCTGACTGGGCAGACAGGATGGCTGACTGCAGACAGGGCAGGACACTGGTCAAGGATGTCTGGCCTACTATAGGCTTCTTGACTTTATCCAAGCCCCTCTTCTTCACAGCTCCTCTCCCCCCGCCCAGTAACCCGAGCCCTTGCCCCAGGCTCCCATTTGCCCAATCCCCTGCCCTAAGACCCCCAAGAACCCAAGCCCCCACCCCAGGCTCCCTGTGCCTTCTGCCCAGTACTTGTGGTCACCTTTAGCTTCTGCTTGGTCTCCTCCGAGATGCTGCCTTTAGGGGAGAGCAGGGTCGGGGTGGGTGGTGTGACGGTGATCTCGGGAGGGAACTTGGTGGTGGCCGAGGGGATCACCAGCTTTGGCATGTTGGGCAGGAGGCGGGACTTGGCCCGGCTGGGCTCGGCCTTGCCTGGATGGCCCTCAGGTGGCTGAGTACTCCCACTGCTGGGGACCTTGGAGCTGGCAGCTGTGGGGCGAGACCTCAGAGGCTGAACTTTGCTCGTAGCCTCCTGAGCCTGCCTGTCCCTTCCCTGCTCAGGATTTGGTTTCCCTTCTAGAAGACAGAGATACCCTGAGCATCTCTCTTCCTTGTTGCATTAGAAAGTGGGTGCCTTCTCTCAGCCCACTGGTCCTGGGCTTGCATGCCAATATGCTTGTACTGGCTGTCAGGCCTCCAGGCCTCCACCCTGGTCAACTATTTCTCACCCATAGGGACTCAACTCTGGCTCTGGACCATGGGATGCTGGGACTGTGACCCTGACCTGGGAGCACCATGAACTCTGAGAGCTCAGGGCCTGGGACATGGGAACATGTCTAAGCCTTCCCAGGGATTCCATGGCCCTCTCAGACATCACAGCTTACATGAACTATTACATCCCCCAAACCATTCCAGGCCACAAATCCTATTGATGTCCATACCTCAGGGAAGACACTGAGGCCCAGAGACAGTCAATCAGCCAGGTGTGGTCACTGAGTCAGCCCTAGTACATCCACTTTCCCTTACACTTCAGGGAGAGTGAGGGGTTGTATTTTCCTGGATACCAGAAGAAGCCGCAGCAGTTGCAGGCTGCAGCTCTAGAGCCTGGCAGCCTCCAGGGAGTTGCGTGAGCTGGGAGAAGCACAGCAGGCCTGGCAGAGCTCCACATTCCTCTGCAGTCTCATGGCTTTAAAAGGAGTGGGGCTTACTCAGAGCCTAAGCCTGGTCACTGCAGGCTGGCGCCAGGTCTTACTGTCCTGAGTGGTCTGTGGGAGGCTCAGCCAGGGGGAGTTCCCGAGGGGCCTGAATGGGTAGGGTGGGAACATGCAGGACAGAGCCTGGGGTTAGGCTGTCTCAGTGGACCATGGGGATGCCTCAGTGATCAAGCCAAGTTCTTCCCTATACATTTCTATTCTTCTCTTGTCCTATCTAGGCTTTGCAGTGGGCTAATGGCTAAGAGGCCCAATCAAAATGTCTGTTCTTGTTGGAACTCCTCTGTGAAGCCAGGGGCAGAATGAAAGAGGCTCTAGGGCCCTGACAATGGTCCATATCAGATTCCAGCTTGGGCTCCTCCTTTGTTCCCCTCCCCTCTCCTGCCTTTCCTTCCCACCTCATCTCAACCGACCTTCCCCAGGCCTGCCCTCAGGCTTGATGCCTCTGTAGGGAAGCCTTCCCTGGCCGCCAGTTGTGAAGCAGCCTTGTGGGAACCAGCGCCCAGCTGTTCCCAGCTGGCCTTACCTTGGCTGCAGGTGGGCTCGGCACCTATCTGGGGGGTAGCCTCTGTTGGCCAGCAGTGTGGCTCTACTGGGGGACCTGTGGGGGCCGTCTTCACCTGTTGACTGCGTCGTGGCTCCTGAGGTGGGAAGCCAGTGCTCTCTGCCACTCCTGCCAGCTCTTCTCCCTCTGTGGGGACATAGGCCAGATGCAGGTGACATACTCATAATACCTCCCAGGGCAGAGCCTCTTTTGTGGGCATTTGTGCCAGGCCCTGTGAGCCTGGGCTGTGCTCTCAGACACCCAGAAGAGAAATGTGTCCAGAGTGGGGAGCCTGGGCTAAAGCAGCTCTTTATCTCCACAGGAACAGACTGGGGACCCTCAGGAACTCTTTTGGGACAATCTAGGTTGGTACTTTCAGGAAACCTCTCAACCCCCAAGTGGACATAAGGAGTTGTTTCCTACTTGGACTGGAAGTATATCAGACACACTAGGGGTCAAAATGAAGGCTGTATGGCCTCTGGACCTGGGTAAAATACCACTATGGTTACACCATGGGATGGGGGTCTTCTCTCTCCTCTGGCTCACAGGAATGACGCTGAAAATTAAAGTCAGGATTAGAATCACAACTACCCAACTAAGACCAAAGAGGACAGAGAACACACTGGCACTATGCCCTCATGCTGAGCCAGACCACTCCTTCCCTGGCACAATGCAGGGAGGAGGAATTGGCCTTAGTTGTGCCAAGGACCAGATGGGCCCAAGGGGCTATTGCAGTGCCTGTGGCCGACAGCCAGGCCATTACTCAGCATCAGTGCTGCAGATGCCCAGGCCTCCCCAGACCCTGTTTCTAGCCTCCTCTCTGTCTTCTAAGTCATTCTCTTCTTCCTGCTTCCTCAGAGCTAGAATCTCCCAGCTTGCTGATATTGTCCCACTGCCTGCCCCTTAGGATCTTTTTACTAGGAATGTCAGCCACTTTTTCCATCAAGAGAAGCAGGCTCCCCTCCTTGGCCAGGCATGTGTGACAGCTCCTGAGACAAAGATAGACCAGGCTGCAGGCAGAGGCCTAAGGGCCATTAAGCTTCCCTGGTCTCCACTGAGCTGCTTAAGGGCAGGGTCTGTGAGGAGGCTTTATCTTAAGCCTGGCTCTGGGGAGCCACTCCTTTTCTTGGTCTCACTACCTGGCAATCTATACTCATAGATAGCCCAACACAATGGCTTCAGAAGGCCCCTCTAGTAATTCCTAGTCATCACCCCCAACTATTGGAGATAGGACACACACCACTAAACTAAGCTGATTTTCCCTTGGCCCTGTGCTCTAAGATCATGCCCTTTTGTAGGGTTAATTGCCTGCCCTTGCTCTGGCTGGATTTTTCCCTTCTGTAGTTGTTCCCTCAGTAGTGTGTATGTAGGGAGCTGTTCAGGTTGTGGAGGCCAGAAACCTTTCTTCTTCTTCTTCTTCTTTCTTGGTGTTGGGAATTGAACTCAGAGGTGCTTTACCACTGAGCCATATCCCTAGCCCTTTTTATTTTTAATTTTGAATGAGTCTCTTCCTTAAATTTCTTAGGGCGTTGCTAAATTGCTGAGGCTAGCCTAAGAGTCTCCTGCCTCAGGACTAGATTCTCCTGCCCAGCCCTCTCGAGTGGCTGGGATTATAGGCATATACCACTATGCCCAGCAAGCCTGGCTTTCTTGGTAATATAAATCTATAGACCTGGCTGCAATGAGGTGGGTCAAGCACACTCTGAACAGGCCTGGGGCCCACAGAATGGGTGGAGGCTGCTCCCAAGATGGCTTTGCTTCTCAGCTCTAGTAGCAGCCTCATTGATTATCCATCTTTCTCAGGCCTGCCTTCTCAGGATGCCACCAAGAAAAGAAGGTATACCCCTGTGTGGAGTCCAGCAGAGACTTGGACACACAGTGAGATGTTCCCTAGATCAGGTGGTCTCCTCCCCTCACCAGAGCCATCTGGGCAACCCAGGGGTGGGACCTACTAAGGGAACAGCCTGCAGAGAAGAGCTGTCTGGAGCTTCCCCAGCCTTGGGTTCTTATCTGGGGAGCAGGTGTTCAGGCAGAGATTCTATGCAATCAGGACATTTCTCCTATTTACCAGGACAGATATACAGACTGGCACCAGGTCTAGCTGTCTCCAAGGCTCATATTCTGGGAGACCATGGGCCTGGCTCAGACTTTTCTTGGCCTCTCAGGGCCTGCATGAGGCCAGCACTCTCACTACCCTCAATACTACTTGCATTTCCACTCTGCTTTACTCTTCCCACCCTAGAAGACACAATGGCTTTAGAGAAAAGGATCCTCTGGGGAGTCAGTTTTATACAAAACTAGGACCTGGTCTAGGGTAGGTGGACACCCAGCAAATAAGGAAATAGACACACACTGGAAGAAGCTGCATAGTGATAGGCAGTGCCTGGGACTTCCTTAAGAGACACAGGGACCTTGAGCCCTGGCCAAACTTGAGGGGTACATCTGCTGTATGGAGCCAGTTTGGGTAGTCTGGCCTGGCAGGTGGGTGAGCTTACTGGGGCCTGGGGATGTTGTGTACAACTACAGCAGGCAAGACAAACTGGGGTTCTCTCAGGGTTGGTTGGCCATTTGATGACCTCAGTGGATACTGGCTGGAAATCCTCCCCTGTGGGCCTTTCAATAGATAGCTAGTATTCCCCATGTCATGATGAACCAATGATCCAATAGTTTGTGAAAAATCCAGATGGCCACACAC